TCTCGCGGATCCGCCGCGATGTGCAAGTGAACTCCGTTGCGGATCCGTTCTGCGGATATTTTTTGCTATGTGGGTCTACATGTTGCTGTTTCATGAGTTCATGATGATAATTTGAGATGAGCCCGTGGTATTAACAGGAACATCGGTGATGATAATTGGAGGTATCGCTGTTTTCCCAAGAAACAGAGACACGTCAATCGGACCAATTTTGTTTCGTTTGTCGGTGTGAAAGCGGACCACTCTGGAGTGTATTTGCTACATAATAACAATTTTATTGCCTTGTGCAGACCAAATAATCGAACTAGCGGTGTGAAAACGACCTAAGTAAAAAGGTGAGACTAGCGTATGATGTCATGTTGTCATGTGAAGGGGAGCTCACCTGTTGTAGTTCCAAGTTCAGTTCTTTATGGTCAGATTGTGTAAGACAAACAAACAAACAAAAAAGCATATCCAAGTCCTAATTGAGTAAAAGAGTTTCAAACAGAGCATGTGATGACATCAGCTGCAAAGTATATAAGTCATAAGTAACATCCATGACAACCAACCCAACATCAACACTTTTCCTGTCAGAACTGAAATGTTCAAGAAGTGTTCGAGTGTGTGGCTGGATTGAGGACTGAGTCGTTTTCAGTGATGAGGTGTTAATATGCTGCAGAGTTCACACCGGATGTGGACAGGTGCCACAAGCCCCTGTCGGTGCTGCTCTTTCCTGTCAAATGAGCGTGAGGAGGGCGCACTCTCTGACAGGTGAGAAGATGCTCTGGTCCCTCACAGCTGGTAATGATGCTGGTGTTTGTGGAGGTGCTGATGGTTGGTGGAGTGAGTGATTGTTTGTGATTGTTTGTGCTGACTCCAGTGAGGCGACAGAGATGGATCTGGACACGGACGACGCAAAAGACTCTTCTCCAAAGAACTCCGGTATCTGCCCGTTTATTCACAGATAAAAGAATCAAGAGTCTGAATAAAGATCTGACGTAGAGTGTGACACAGCACAGGCAGAGGACGCAAACAGAGCGGGAGTTTTTACGTTTTTCTTTCTGCAGCAGGTCGAGAAAAACAAACGAGTCTTTGTCTGTGATAAAGCCAAAGAAATAAAAAGAGAATTTACACGACATAAAACTGAATTGAAATGTTTTGTTGTTCTTTTTGTCGTTCTGTTTTTCATGTTCGTCCGGTTTGTCGCGTCCCGGCGACAGGTGCATGATGTACGGCTTCGGAGACGACCAGAACCCGTACACCGAGTCTGTGGACATCCTGGAAGATCTGGTCATCGAGTTCATCACGGAAATGACCCACAAGGCCATGTCCATCGGACGCCAGGGCAGGGTCCAGGTGGAGGTGAGCGACAGGGGCGGGGTCCAGGTGGAGGTGAGTGACAGGTGAGGGTCCAGGTGGAGGTGAGCGACAGGTGAGGGTCCAGGTGGAGGTGAGCGACAGGTGAGGGTCCAGGTGGAGGTGAGCGACAGGGGCAGGGTCCAGGTGGAGGTGAGTGACAGGTGAGGGTCCAGGTGGAGGTGAGTGACAGGGGGGGGTCCAGGTGGAGGTGAGCGACAGGTGAGGGTCCAGGTGGAGGTGAGCGACAGGGTGAGGGGTCCAGGTGTGAGGTGAGCGACAGGTGAGGGTCCAGGTGGAGGTGAGCGACAGGTGAGGGTCCAGGTGGAGGTGAGCGACAGGTGAGGGTCCAGGTGGAGGTGAGCGACAGGTGAGGGTCCAGGTGGAGGTGAGCGACAGGTGAGGGTCCAGGTGGAGGTGAGCGACAGGTGAGGGTCCAGGTGGAGGTGAGCGACAGGTGAGGGTCCAGGTGAGGTCGACAGTGAGGGAGGTGGAGGTTTGTTGGGGACGTTTAAATTTCCGTTCTTCGATTCCTAAGTTTGCGTGTTTTTCCAGGACATCGTTTTCTTGATCCGTAAAGACCCGCGGAAGTTCGCCCGAGTGAAGGATCTGCTGACGATGAACGAGGAGCTGAAGAGGGCGAGGAAGGCCTTCGACGAGGCCAACTACGGCTCCTAGGGTCAGAGGTCGGAGGTCGGAGGTTGTGGTTCTGTTTTTGGACTTGAATCGTCTGAACTGTTTCATATTTTCAATCTGATTAAATGTTTCTTTTTACTAAACAAAAATCATATTTTGTTTTTTACCTTTATAGTATTTTTGTTGTGTTTAGCTCGTCTGTTTTAATGAATAAATCAGGATTTGTTCCACGTTTGTTCTGTGTAAACGCTGCGTTCTGTTCACGGTTCTGTTCAGATCAACGAGTCGTGGTTTATCATAAATATAATTCCACATAAATAAAGATGAAATTGGAGTAAATCTCCTCCCCGCACCTCTGGTCATGACCCGAAGGACCAGATCGAGGCAGGGCGTCGAGGCAGGGCGTCTCCCTTAGAGACAGAGGTCAGAGCTCGGAGCTCGGAGTAGAGCCGCTGCTCCTCCACGTGGAGAGGAGCGTCTGAGGGAGGACGTCTGTTCTGACGTCTCCTGGACGTGTCCCTCAGGAGGTGTTCATGTCCCACCTGGAGGAGGAGGAGACCCAGGACACACTGGAGGGACCATGTCTCTGGACTGGACTGGGAACACCTCAGGTCCCACTGGAGGAGCTGGAGGAAGAGTCTGGGGTGAAGGAAGTCTGGGAGTCTCTGTTCAGACTGATGCTCCGAGACTCGACCCCAGAGAAGAAGAAGAACATGGAGGATAAATGTTTTCACAGTCTGTGGTCCAGCCTCGTGTCTCTGCGTCTGTGAAAGTTCATGAGACTAAACGTTTCTGCAGACGACGAGACGTTTGAAGAGTTTGAAGATCAGAGTTTTGAAGATCAGAGTTTTGAAGATCAGAGTTTTGAAGATCAGGTCAAACTTGTTTCTTGTTTCTTGGTTCTTGTTCTTGTTGTTTCTTCTGGGTGAGTTTTATAAATGTTTGACATAAACTCACAGGTGTGTGTTTTACGAGCGCCTCCTGGAGCCCGGAGCGACTCACCACCTGTGACCAGGAATGTCACCAATGACTTCATGATCCTTCAGCAGGTTTGGTCTGAACGCCAGAAATAACCACAGGAGCCGCGGCCTGTCACCACCTCTCACACGTGTGTGTCCGGTGTCAGTGCTGAAGTGAAGAGCGCAGTGATCCAGACCGAGACCAGGACAAGACCGAGACCAAGACCACGGCTCCTCGAGACCAAATCAAGACCATCTTTGTCATTTCCTACATTTATTTGTGTTTTACATTTATTTTAGCTCAAATATATCAATGTTTTTATAAATCTATCTCCAGTTTATCTGGTTAATGTTCATTTAAACTTAAAATAATCCAAACTGTTCTGCTCTGAAACACTCTGGGGCCTTTTTTAGACCCTCTCCCACAGTTGGAGAAACTCGTCTTTAAGAAAACTTCCACTGACACAAAACTGCTTCAAAATGAATCCAGTGAGTTTTTTTAAAGTCCATAACATTTAGTCACATTCTCTCGTTGGTTTTGCAGTCATATTTAAAGGCCGTGATGAAACATGATCAGACTTGAGTGTCGGACCTCGAGTCTGAGACGAGACCAGGACCGGGCCGGAGGACTATGACTCTGTCAGCCGTCCTCCCTGTGTCTGTGGAGTTTTATTCTGTGTAAAATCTTTTACTTTAAACTTTAAATCGTGTCCTGAGGTTCTCGGACGAGTTTAAAGTTTTACATTTCTGTTTCCTGTCAGTCTGTTTTGTCTAAAATATTTGACTTTTTGAGTGTGAAATCACTTATTTTTGCCCGTTTTTTCCAAACAGAATGGACAAAAAGAAGAAATAAACACGTTTTATTTATTTTCCTCAAAACAAACTTTATACAGACTTAAATCGGCAGCAGCGGGTGGTACGGCTTTATTCTCTTCTGGTACAAGTGACGATGTTTGAGTCTAAAAGCGACCAGCGAACACGGATCACACGAGCCACACGAGCCGCGCCCGGAGCCGCACCGACCCCGGGCGGCCTCAGGGGGCGCTAGCTTCTGTTACAGAGGCGGGAGGATG